TTCACAGGTCCTAATTCTTCAACCCATGCGGAGATTTAGCTTTTCCACATCAACACCATCCAGCGGCTGTCAGGATGGAAAAGGTGAGGCATCCCAGTGAGTCCCCCCCCCGCCCCCTGCCAAGGAGAGCATCTTGTTGCAGGAGGAGCAGAAGAAACCCCATGCAGCCCCCGAGGGAAGGCAAGCACCATCCACGGCCTTCGTGGGACGTCGGATTCATGGAGACAGCAAAAACGAGCTGCACTCGCTGGCCATTAGGGCTAGGTAGAACCTCCAGGCTTGGAGGCAGTGTATCTCTCAAAAAGCAGATGCGAGAGGACGGAGCCAGTGGGGGGGGGGCACTGCGGTTGGGAGCAACTGGGGCTCTGGTCCCCTCTCAGCCATGGGGCCGACTTTGGGCCAGTCACAGCCTCTCAGCCCAGTCTACCTCGCAGGGTTGTTGTCTGGGGATAAGAATGGGAGGGAGAGAATTGTGCAAGCTACACGGAGCTCCTTGAAAGGAAAAGCGGGGTGTAAACATTTAATCGAATGCGAGTGCTGCGTTGGGGCAGCGCATCGGCCACGGCGCGAGAGGCTTGCTGGCCGAGTGGCCCTTCACCCCCCCAACAGGCATCCTCTGGGTTGTGTGGATGCCCGGAAGCTCAGCCGCACGGTCCCCACGGCAGACGTCGGGTCTCCCAGGGCCGAGCGGCGCCGAGGGGGGTGCCCTGGGCCGAGGGGCAGGGGCGGCTCCCGGGATGCGTCCCCTGCCTGCGCTCCCCCTGCCCCCACCGCGCCACCATCCTCGGCCCGTGGCCAGACTCACCCTTAGCATCCCAGGCCGCTCAGGGTCCCAATCCGGTCCAGCTTGAACCCGAAGCAGCCCTGCTCCCCCAGCTTCTTGGTGCGCCTCCGGAGCGTCTTCTGGGCGTTCACGAAGTCGATCAGGAAGTGGATCCAGGCACGCTCCTGGGGGGCGCTGGGGGTGCCACCGAGGGGGGGCTGCCAGCGGAGGAGCTGGGCCAGGGAGCCCGAGGGGAGCCGGGCGGGGGGCCCCTCATGGCCGGCCAGCAGCGTGTCCAGGCCGGCCCCCAGGACCTCCAGCAGTGACTGGCGGGAGAGGAAAAGAGGGCTGCGTTGACGAGCAGCCCACCAGGCACCCCCTAAACGAGGCGCCCCCATTCTTCCCACATACCTCAGTGCACCGTTTCCCACGCGGTAGTTAATTTTGCGCCCCCCCCCACTCCCCACCCCCAGGACACTGAGATGCACAAACTTTTGGGCAATTGGATACGGTGGAAGGAGGGGCAAGGACAGGATTCCGGGTCCTCTGAGTGGCACATGGGGTATGGTGACCGAGGAGCGATGGGGCAGGAGAGCTGGGTGCCCCAGGGGGAGCAGTCCTCGCGTCAGGACCAGGAGACGGGGCCCTGCCTCCGCGACCTACCTGGGGTGAGCGGATGGGGGCCTGGGAGGCCAGGGACAGGAGGGCGAGGAAGAAGGCGGGGCGCAAGGTCTTCATCCTTGTTGCCCCCAGAAGTTTCTCTTTGGGGTCCGAGCTGGGGGGCTGGTTTGGCTGTGTGTGCCTCCCCCCAGGCCGGGCCTCTTATAGGGTCGCTCAGCCCACCTCCCCAGCCCATCTCCCAGGCAACAGGGGCCACCCCGTGCTGGCAGGGCGGGGGTGTTGCCCTCATGGGGGGGCGCTTTTGTCCCCAGTGAAAGGCCCGTGTTGCCCAGGGGATGCGTTCCAGGAAAGGGGAAGACAACGGGAGGGGAGGGGAGGGGGGCTTGCCAGGCTGGGCTGAGGTGAGGATGCTGGGGGGGGGGGGGGCTGACTCGGAAGGTGCAAAAGAGGAACGGAGGGGAGGGGAGTGCGAGTCCCACCTGACCGGAGAGATCCTGCTCCAGGACGTGGCACTTGGTTTCCAGGAAAAGCCCCGGCCCCAAAGACCCCCGTGCCCAAGCTGCCCCCCCCCCCCCCCCCCCCCCCCCCCCCCCCCCCCCCGCCCCCCCCCCCGACGTGGTGGCCTCGATCCGAACGCCTCCTGCCGGCCCTCCTCCCTTTCAGCCCGCAGGGCTCCCCCCCCGCCCCGTGGCCTTTCCCCGCCGCAGCCCGAGCCCCTCTCCCCAGCCCCCTTCCCTAATCCATCACCGCCGCGGAGCCCGGGATCGCCAGGGAAACCCTTCCCGGCTGAGAAGCGCCCGGCCAGGCGATTCTTCCGCCTCCGCAGCCACGTTCCCCAGCAGCGCCTTCCAGCCCTTCTCCCGGCGGGGGGCGCCTTTCCCGCAGGGGACACAAGCCGAGCGGGGGGGGGGGCGCCCTGGAGGTCCCTGCGCTTTCCAGTGCCCCAAGCCCAAACTGGAGGGGGGGGGCATTTCTGAAAAGAAGGGGGCGCCCCGGAGGGCACGTGCTCCGGGTGGATCCTGGCCGTCGGGCGATCATGGAGGGGGCTGAGCACGGACTCCATCGAACCAGTGGGGCAGGCAATGGGGCAGGCACCGCAGAGCTTGTGGGCGGCATCACCTCGCAAGGGAAAGCTGGACCGACCCGCGTGGCTGGAAGACCGGTGCCGATCCTTTGGGACTGGTCCAGAGCCACGGCCTCCATCTGTCGGCGAGCCAATGCCACCAGTCCTCGGAGCAGCTCTGCCGGGCTTCATTCACTCGGCTGCGTTCTCCTCATTTCCTCGACGTTTTCCGGCTAGCCCCTTCATGTCCAGGAGTCGGCACCATAAGAAGAGCCCTGCGGGGTCGGCCTTGGGATCCAGCTAGCCCACCCTGGCCCCCCAGGGGCCAACCAGCTCCCCACGGGAGACCCATGAGCAGCAGAAGTGCAGCAGTGCCCCCCCCGCCACAGTGGCCACCAGCAACCCTCTGCGTTTACGGCCCCCTTTCCCTTTCAAGGTCCTTCAGAGGGGCAACCCCACCCCCACCCTGTGCCAGAGGGGCAGGGGGTCCCTTCGCTGAGTCTCCTGCTTGGCGGGTGGCGCTAGAACGGTGGGAGAGGGAGGAAAAGTCTCCCGCCACCTTTCGGCAGGAGGGGAGGGGCACGGTGGGCACCCCCCCACAGCTGTGGGGCCGCCCCCGAGCAGACCGCTTTGTGTCCCCACTCGCCTGCCCTGCCCCGTGGTGAGCAGGTGAGGCAGCCTCTGCAGGCAGGCCAGGAAGAGAGGAGGTGGCCGTTCCCTCAAGCACCTGGGCCTGGGCCAGAGGGAGGGAGAGGGGCCACTTGAGGCACCGTGGCCTACAGCTCCCAGAATCCTTCACCATGGGCTGTGCCAGCTGGGGTGACGGGCCAAAGCATCTCGACCGAAGGTTTTCGACAGGTAAAACCAGAGCCTTCCGCTGGGCTGGGAAAGGGGCTGGCGACAGGGGAGGTGGTGCGGCTTTTGCCCTGTGCCCCATCCCTCCTGGACGTGGGCCCCCACGCGGGAACTGTGGCCTGAGGATTGTGGCTTCGGCTCAGCCTTCTCGGCCCCTTCCGACCACAAGATTCAACAGGGCCTTTTAGGAGCCGGACTGCGCCAGGAGAGCGAGAGCAAGCGCTTTTGAGGGCAGGGGCTAGCCGGCGTGGTGGCAACGGGCCTGGGGAGGAACCAGGGGCTGGGTGGGGGCGCCTTGGGGGTTTTATCTGGCTCAGAGCTTGGAGCGTCCCTGTCTGCCCCTTACGGGCTGATGCTGAAGAACTGCAAGAGGAAGAATGGCAAATCTGCCCCTGGATGGGGCAACACCGGACAAATGATCTGACAGGTTTTAATGCAGAGATTCTAGTTCAGGGGTTTCATTTCCCTTCCACGCACCTGAAGGAATTTGAATGCAACATTCAGACCACTGAATCCTTTCAAGATACCGGAAGAGGTTCCAGGCCTTGCATTAAAATGTTCTCCGTTGGTTCACTTTGCAACCGTTTTGGGAAACAGCAGCTCCATGAAACATTGCAGGGTCGATGGGCAGCGCTGCCGGTCCCGTCGAGGGCCTGGAACACATTTCAGGAGCCGTGGGCAAACCTGCGCAGGCGTCCGCGTGAAATCTCAAGGTACGCACACGGTACGTCGTCTCCTGGACGGTGCCTGAGGCAGCCGTCAGCAACCTGTGGCCCTGCAGGTGTGGCAGGCTGCAGGTCCCCACCTGAGACCTCTGGAAGACGGCAGGCCCCGCGGGGAAGGCTGGTGGGGTGTCCAGGCAAGAAACGCAAGGACAAGAAGGGGCTCGGTGGGTGGCGGCACGCGCCTCTGCCCTGGCCGTGTCTGCAGAAGGCGAAAGCATTTTGACTCTCTGGGGCAACCAAAGAGCCGTTCCTGTGCTCCCGCGACGCCACACGGCTTCCCCTCGGGCTGGCCGTGTCCCGCTGGTGGCACCGTGGGCTGTCCGGCGGCCACCCTCCCTCAAGCGCCGCTGGTTTTGGCTTGTGTTCGTCCATGATTCATCCTACGTGATTAGTGCTGAGCGCCGTTCCGTCGCCAGCGACTTCGCCATCTCACTGGAGTGCCGCCCTGAAACGGTCTCTGGGGCTTTGCCGGAGAGCATCCGAAGGGCCGAGAGGCGGGTTGTCCATCTGGCCCCACAGCCTCTTTCCAGCAGGGGATGATGGGACGCCCAGACAGGAAGCCCCCCACCCGGGCACGCAGGCAAGGGGCTTGCTCCGCACCACGTCTGTAACAAGAGCCACGCCAGCCCACGGCGGCAAAGGGGGGCTGCACAGACTCCCCTCCGCCCACCCGTGGAGCCTTCTGTGGGGTCCTGGTTTTTGCACCGCTTTTTCCCAATCTGACAGGGCTATTGTCCCTCTGAAAACTTGGTGAGTGGCAGGAAAAGCTGCGGGTTAATTTTGGGGGCAGTGCTGGCTCTGCCCCTTTGCCTTGGGCCCCCCCACCAGTGGAGAACATCCCCCAGGAGCTTCCCTGGGGCTGGAAGAGCTGGACACCCTTGTCGGGGGGTGCCGCAGACTCCGTTGTCCTTCCTGCCCGGGGGGCGTCACAAAAAGGAGGCCCCGGGGCACCGTCTCTGGTCCCTTCCCTCTTGCCCGGTGCAGCCAGGGCTCTTCCTGGCTGGAGCTCGCAGGAGCTGCACCCATTCCGAAGCCGCCCGAGGCGGTGGCCGTGGCACCCCTTCCGGGGAGAGTTACTCCCATACACGAATTGCATGTTGTGGGTTCTACAATCCCCCAGGTGCTTGTGCTGTGAGGGGTGGACCTGCTCCCCTCCTGGGCCTGGGGAGCTTCGAAGTCCCAGTTCTTCGCTTTCCCGCGGTTCTGCAGAAAACCTAGAGATCCGGGGTGGCTTCCTGCTCCGTCCTGGAAAAGGCCCAAGCGATGCTTCCCCAGCAGTTGGTGGTTGGGCGCCCGGGGGGGGGGCCGAGCCTGGGGGGGGAGGCTTCCCAGAGAAGCAGGCCTGGGAAGTGGGACTCCTGGGCTCTTTAGAATGCCTCGCTCTGTGCAGCCGACCCAGGAAGACAAAGGAAAGGCTGCGAATGACGTGGGCGCCGCAAGAGGGGTGTCTCGGGGACACCAGCAAGAGGCGGCGATGGCAGCGGTGCTGAACGGGGGCGCTCCCCACAGAAGGGGAACGTGGGCACATTCCTGGCGCGGCCCCGGGGTTTCCCGGGCCGACCGAGTCATTCAGTCCTCGCCGGGCTGATGTCATCGCGGGCGTCTGGGGGAGCAACGGGTGTTTGGGGGTGAAAGGCGGCATTGACTGTGCGGGCTGCCCCTCTCCTTCCCCTCCTCTGGTCCGTGGGAGCTCCGGCTCTGAGGGATGCGTGGAAGGCGATCCGTCCCGCCAGCCGGGTTGAGCCGCTCCCGCAACGTCCTCCTCCGGCAGGTGACTCGCCACGCCTGGATGAAAGGCCCTCGGCTGGGAGGGGGCCGTCGGAGCCACGGGGCTGCCGCCCGCTAGAGGCTGGGGCAGCAGAGACGGTGGCGGAAGCCGCCTGGACCCAGCCAGGAGACTCGGGTGCCGCAGACAAGCAAGATGAAGAACAGGCAGCGGTGCTGCGGGGAAACATCCGAAAGGAGGAGACCCAAAGCAGGGCCTCGAAGTGAAACGGCTGGCCAAGCGCGTCCTTCCTGAGCAAATGGTGAATTCAAAGCCATTTCGGAAAAGCGGGCTTGGTTGAACTGCGCCTTTGGGAACTGCTCATCCACGGTAATGAAAGCGTGGAATGTTGCTGCTTAAGTAGCGACACCTTCCGTCGACAAGCGTTTTCCCTACCGCTGCAAAAGCGCCCACAGCTCCGCTCCTGGCGCCCCTAAACGACTCGCAGGAGCAAGCGCCGAGAACGGAGCAGGCCTGGGCAGCCATCTGTCCGGGGGCCCAGAGCGGCGCACTGCGCAGGGGTGGGACTAGACGGCCTTCTCGATCCCCGAGCACCTGGAATACCCTCCGTGCGCCGGGCTCACGCGCCTTCACAGACCTTGGCCCAGCAGCCACGGCCGCCCACCTAGCAATCCTTGACCGCAGCAGGGCAGCTGTGCTGCAGAGGAAGGCCACAAAACCCGTTGCTCAGACAGCAGCGTTGGTTAGG